TGACCATCAATGTTCCATATTTGCTCGAGCGCGTCATGCGGTAGTTCGGGTACATACAGACGATACCCAGACACCCAGTTGTCTCCGCTCCTCTCGGCTTGACTCGTAGGTAGATAGGCGAGACCTTTGCTGACTACCAGACGCACATGGTACCGGACGAGGCTCGGTCGACCAGAGCGCAGAGAGACTGGAGCTGCATTGATGGCTATATCATGTGGTTCTTCACCACCTCACACTCATACATAGTGCCCACTGCAGAAGGATCACCGTCCAGATCAGCTCATCAGGAGATCTTAAAGGAGTAGCAGTCTTAGTTGGACCACACTCAGGATGTCCTGCCTCGTTGTCGTCAGATAGTGGAGATGGGGCAGACAGGCATTGTCGTCGCTTTCTTCCATAAGGGGTCTGACCACAGGCGTGTATTGGATGAGATGATTGAGGTGACACATGGGGCACTTATGTATTGTAGGCATCGTGCCGGGACGGGTGGGATCAATGGCTGAGGACGTAGACCGGACGGTCAAGGAGGCACTAATGATGATTTTTCCCCAGAAATTCACACCTTTGTTTCGTACAATTTAGTTTCAACATATTTTATTGCACTTTTGACCATTCCTTTGTCACAATTTCCTTTATTTTCTTGAAGCAAACTGTTTTTTAACCATGAATGTTGTTGAAGCATTCATTGTTTTTCAATTTTTAAATTAAAAACACTAAACACATGTCTTAGGATTCACTGGTTGATCCTGTAAATTAACCAATATTTGGAGACCAGCTGTTGTTTACCAATTTTCACGGTAAACACATTTTCCATATTACTCCTCCTATTTCAAAATGACTATCATTTAAGGTTTTTGCACACAAATTAAAGAATGCAATGCTATTGTCATAAGATATTACAATTTTCCAAAATTAGTTTTATTAATGTGTTGGAAATAGTGTACAGAGTAATAATTATATGACAAAGTTGGAAAAATAATAATTATTAATACATTAAAAGTGAGAATGACATTTATTTTGAAACAAAAATTTTCCTTTAAAACGACAGTCATTTTGAAACAGATGGAGTACTAAATTTTATAATTTACATCAAAAAATGATAAACTCTTCATATCCATACGACCCAAAATGAATTTTAACTTAACTGCAATTTATTGCACACAAAAAAGAGTTCATCTCTATTTTTGTAAAATCAATGTCAATGTTACACATTAATTGATCCAATGGATCGAATCAATTGTCATCTCAACCACCACGACATAAGAGAGATTATCAATATTGAGTAGCATCTTCCACAAATGAAGATGATACGGAGATGATGGTTGTATTCAATTCACTAACATGCAACTTTAAATAATATAAAAAACATATTCTTGACATTTAATCATTATCGCACTCAGAGACTGATCGATTAGACGTTAACTTAAAAAGATTTGTTTGTACTATCTAAATTTGTGTTTAAATTTGGGTTGTCTCAAAGACATGTGATGAGATAATAACAGGTATGTTTTAATCTCATGAATAAATAACTACTTTACTAGTTATTTAATAAACATTTTTAATTTATATTGATGTATTGTTGATGTTGTTGAATTTAATTTATGTTTTAGAGATTACTTCATCAGATTTATTTATAATTAAAATTATTTAGAAATAACATACAAACAGCCAATAAACTGCGCTGCTATTGTAAAAGAAAGATATTTAAGATTTTAAAAAGACTTCTCAAAAAATAAAAATAGTAACAAACTTACAAGAAGACACAAAGACAGACTTCAAGAATGAAGGCCATCCAATGATCCTAAAATCACATACTAAATAACAAAAGGTATAAAATTAGTGCGTGCATAAATTTCAACGAAATCATCTTACTTTAACAGACAAAAATAAGTTAACCATTATGAATAGATTATTTAGCTCAAGTGGACCAAAATCTTTGGAGTCATCGCTCATTCTTCCACACTGTAAGGATGGCAGACAAGAAAAAGATTATTAATGAAAAATACTTAGTCCTAGTACCTAAGTATTACTTACATATGATATGATATATGATAATGTTTCACACAATTTTTGAACAGGCTATTTTATTTTACTGTCACAAATGGTTTCTTTGCATATTGGTCTTAACACTCAAACTCTTGTTTTCTGTTATGCAATAGGAACCATTTGCACCTTCCAAATAATCTATCTTGCAAACTCACTGTCCTTTGATTATCCCTATTTTAAGATCGGTGATGTCAATTGGGAAGGAGATGCTTCTCCTTATAAAGGAGCTATTCAAATCACTTCCAACACCCTTGATCAAAACAACAATTACAGTGTCGGGCGAGTCACGAGTTTTAAACAGGTGCATCTCTGGGATTCGAAGTCTGGAAACCTTTCTGACTTCACCACCAATTTTTCCTTTGTTGTTTTTTCAAACACACAAAATTATGGAGATGGAATGGGATTCTTCATGGCTGATCCAAATCTTCCACTTTTGAAGAACATCAAAGAAGGTGGTGGTCTTGGTCTTGTGGATGCAGACCAAGTACTAAAATCAACTCAACATTCATTTGTGGCAGTGGAGTTTGACACTTTCAATAACCCATCGTGGGACCCTTCAGGCGAAGGCACTCATGTTGGTTTGAATTTCAACTCTATGAGGTCTAATGTAACTAAACCATGGTTAGCAAATATTCTTAAATGGAAAGTTTACAATTGCAGCATTGAGTACAATTCCAACACTTTAAATCTGAGTGTTTCATTCACCATGTATGATGATGATGATAAACCAGTTGAAGGGTACATATCACACAAGGTAGACTTGAGAGATTTATTACCAGAGAGGGTTATTGTTGGCTTCTCGGCTGCAACAGGAAGATTGTACGAGGTGCATACTCTTCGATCATGGTCGTTTCATTCAAGTCTATTAAGTGATGAGACCAGATATCAGATAGTGGACCCGATTTCCAGTCCTATAATTTCTGAAAAAGAAAACAAGATAAGATTGAAGGTAGGGCTTGGAATTGGTACAGGATTGGCTGTGAGTTTATCAGGGCTGGTTTGTACTCTATTATGGAAGAGGAGTAGAGTAAGTAAAAAAGAGTTTGGTTTTGATCTCGACATGGATGATGAATTCCAAAAGGGCTCTGGACCCAAGAGGTTTTCCTACAATAAACTAGTGAGTGCGACGAATAAATTTTCAGAGTCAGATAAGGTGGGGCAAGGTGGTTTTGGCGGTGTATACAAAGGTTATTTGAAAGGAACGAACTCCTATGTTGCTATCAAGAGGATATCAAGAGAGTCTAGACAGGGAATACTAGAATATGCGACTGAAGTGAAGGTCATAAGTCAACTGAGACACAGGAATCTAGTACAACTTCTAGGTTGGTGCCACAAGAAGAATGATTTTCTTCTTGTATACGAGTTCATGTCAAACGGAAGCTTAGATTCTCATCTGTACGGTAAGAAAAGCTTCTTGACATGGACGGCAAGGTATAACATTGCATTGGGTTTGGCTTCAGCATTGCTTTATTTACAGGAAGAATGGGAGCAGTGTGTACTTCACAGGGACATTAAATCAAGCAACATTATGTTGGATTCATGTTTCAATACTAAGCTTGGTGATTTTGGTTTAGCTAGGCTTGTGGATCATGAGAAAGGGTCACAAACAACACTTATAGCTGGGACAAGGGGTTATATTGCCCCTGAATATTTCACATCAGGGAAAGCTACTAAGGAATCTGATATATACAGCTTTGGGGTAGTGTTATTGGAAATAGTCACTGGAAGGAAAGCTATTGAAAGAGAAGAAAAGGAGGGTCAAATAAGTGTTGTCGAGTGGGTTTGGGAGCTCTATGGATTCGGAAAGTTCCTTGAAGCAGCTGACCCTAGGTTAGGTGGGGCATTTGATGAGCATCAATTGGAACGTTTGGTAGTTGTTGGCCTTTGGTGTGCTCATCCAGATTATGCATTTAGGCCTTCTATAAGACAAGTGATTCAGGTGCTCAAATTTGAGTCTTCTCTACCAATTCTCCCCAAAAAAATGCCTGTGCCAACCTATCTTCCTCCAACAATAAAAGCACTTTTTTCTTCAGTTTCGTCCACCTATTGGACAAATAGTTAGAAATAGGCAGAGTGTAACAATCATTGGAGAACTTTTTTGTATAGGAGCAAAAAATGCAACATTATTATTTGCAACATATATGTTCAATTGTATTTTTCCTCAGCAAATATGCATACAAATGACAAATGTATCTATTACCAAAAACCATGTTATATACCACTTACATTTTCTTTCAAAAACTATGATGACACTGCATACCAATATCAGCTTGCTCTTAATACTACACGAGCTCAGTTCTGTCTAAGAAAAAACTGTCAAAAGACATTCATACAAAATTTGGATGTTGCATTGTCATTGTGAGATGACCAAAAAAATATTCCTCGGAGTGGTCGAACTGCTATTGTATACATGGGATGCATGCATGTGTGGCTTTTGAGATAGATGGTGTTACAAGTGTCCTAAATGATTATGAAGTTCGGTAACTTGTGCCTAAGGGCAACTTTACAAAATGACATAGGATGTTTAAGGACTTTGTTTGACATCCTTAACCTTGGCTAAAAGACAAAATTTGTTTATCTGTTTCTAAAATGATACATACTGCATGAACCAGTCTAATTTTATATTTTTGTTGTACATATAGTTTATTTTCTGAATGTTTCTGTTATCCAACCCAACATAGTCTGTTCCTACTCGATACAATATTACAACTTAAAATGTTGTTGTACGTTAACTCTTATGAGCATTATTGTGACCCTCATGCATAGTATCCGTCAACAACAGTTGTGAATGTACAGAATCTAGACATATAGTATGTAACAATTAAAATACATAATCTACATAGGAAAGGAAGTTAGATAAATGACAAAGAAAGAACAGTAAATAAATATGTACTACATGAAAGTTAGGCTTCAAACATGCAACTAAACAACTCTGACATAGCTAAGTTAGACAAATGGTTCCTATATTCTGTTATGCAAGGGGAACAATTTTGCTCGTTCTGATAGTTCCTCTTGCACAGGCTCACTTTGTGTCTTTTGATTACCCTAAATTATTGGAGGGGTTGGGAGTAGGTTTTGTATGTTCGTGTATGAGTTTAATAGCAATGTTAATCATCTTATTGTGGAAGAAGAATAAAGGAAAAGAAGAAGACCTTACTTCAGAAACCACATCTGATCTGGATATGGATGATGAATTCCAAATGAGTGCTGGACCTAAGAAGATGAGTTATTATGAGCTGTTGAATGCAACAAACAACTTTGAAGAGACGCGAAAGCTTGGCCGAGGTGGTTTTTGTGGTGTTTACAAGGGTTATTTTAAAGATTCAAACTCAGTTACAGCTATAAAGAGGATATCAGCAGATTCAAGACAGGGTATAAAGCAATACTCAGCAAAAATGAAGATCATCAGTCAATTGAGGCATAGAAATTTGGTAAAACTCAATGGTTGGTGCCACAAGAAGAATGAACTTATCCTAATATACGAATACATGCCTAATGGTAGTTTAGATTTCATCTTTTTCGAGGAGGAAGCATTTTGTCGTGGAAGTTGAGGTATAACATAGCTCTTGGGTTGGCCTCAGCATTGCTTTATTTGCAGGAAGAATGGGAAAATGTGTGATTCATAGAGACATAAAATCAAGCAACATAATGTTGGACTCCAATCTACAACTTCAATACTAAGGTTGGGGACTTCAGTCTAGCTAGACTTATGGATCATGAAAAAGGGTCAGAAACCACAGTTGTTGCTGGAACCAGAGGTTACCTAGCACCTGAATACATGGACACAGGCAAAGCTAGAAAGAAATCTGACATATTCAGTTTTGGGGTTGTTTTATTGGAGATAGCTTGTGGAAAAAAAGCCATCCACCACCAAGAACTGGAGGGTGAAGTTCCATTAGTTGAATGGGTTTGGGAGCTAGAAAGTTTGCTAGTAGTTGGACTTTGGTGTGCTAATTCAGATAACACATCAAGACCATCGATAAACAAAGTGATTAAAGTACTAAACTTTGAAGCTCCATTACCTATTCTCCCACAAAATATGCCATTCCTAGCTTCTCTATCTCTCACAACAAATGAGCAATTTTTCTCAGTCCCTTCTCTCTTTAGATCTACAGGTTAGTTTGAACCTGAAAGTAAACAGAATGTACTAAATACTAATTAGATTTGATTATTCATATCCAGTTTAGGATCCTATGGTTTAGGGGAGCTGAATGTTTTTACAATGTGGCTTATGAATATTTAACTAACAACATTTATTTTGAATTTTTTTTCAATCTCCTAATCAAAATTTTGAATCACAATATTCTCAGCAATAGGGTTACCTTGGAAATTGATACTGTATTTCATATTTACTTTAAACAGAAATTTATTCACATGAAATTTTGGAAAATACAGAACACATTACATAATTCAATTTTTTCGTTCATATACAGTACAGAAACACACAAAAACACATACTAAGCATTAGGATAAAGCAAAGAACGCCATTCTAGCGCAGAACTTGTTGGGTGTTTAACCAGAGATATTAATGGTCCTAACTTCAGGCTTCTTAACCGCTTGTTTAGGAACGGGTATAGTGAGAACACCAATCTCCATGTATGCTTTGACTTCAGGTTTCTTCACCTCTTGTTTAGGAACGGGTATAATGAGAACACCATTAGGGATGGCAAACAAATCCGGGCCCGCCCACACCCGCCCGGGCCCGCCCCAAAATTAACGGGGAAAATCTGATTTAATTGGGTGCGGGTGCGGGTGAAACCCGATTCTTAACTACGGGTGCGGGTGCGGGTAGACACTAAAACCCGCCCCGCCCCGCCCTAAATAATATATTTTATTTTGATTTCTTTATTTTATTTATTTTAATATTTATTTATTAATTATACTTTTAATTAAGTTATTAATATTCTTATTGTAATTAAAATAATAAAATTAATCAAGTTAATATTTATTTATTAATTAAAATTTTAATTAATTAATTTATTAAAATAATCAATTTTTTAATTAAATTACTAATTTTTATTATAATTAAAAATAATAAATAATTTTTTGCGGGTGGGGGCGGGGCAGGTGCGGGTGCACCCGTTTTCTACTGGGGGCGGGTCTGGGTGGTAAATTTTCACCCCCGATTGGATTTGGGGGCGGGGGCGGGTCTGTTACATGGAGGCGGGTACAGGTGCGGGTATAGTTAAACTCGCCCCCGACCCGCCCCGTTGCCATCCCTAAACACCATTCTCCATGTATGGTTCGACTTCAGGTTTTTTCACCTCTTGTTTAGGAACGGTATAACAAGAACGTCATTCTCCATGTATGGTTCGAATTCAGGTTTATTCGCCTCTTGTTTAGGAGGAACGGGTATAACGAGAGGTTTTCACCTCTTGTTTAGGAGTATAGGGTATAACAATAGGTTTCTTCACCTCTTGCTTAGGAGTATAGGGTATAACAATAGGAGTATAGGGTATAACGATAGGTTTCTTCACCTCTTGTTTAGGAGTATAGGGTATAACGATAGGTTTCTTCACCTCTTGCTTAGGAGTATAGGGTATAACAATAGGAGTATAGGGTATAACGATAGGTTTCTTCACCTCTTGTTTAGGAGTATAGGGTATAACGATAGGTTTCTTCACTTCTTGTTGAGGAGTATAGGGTATAAAGATAGGTTTTTTCACCTCTTGTTTAGGAGTATAGGGTATAACGATAGGTTTCTTCACTTCTTGTTGAGGTGTATAGGGTATAACGATAGGTTTCTTCACCTCTTGTTGAGGAGTATAGGGTATAACGATAGGTTTCTTCACCTCTTGTTTAGGAGTATAGGGTATAACGATAGGTTTCTTCACCTCTTGCTTGGGAGTATAGGGTATAACAATAGGAGTATAGGGTATAACGATAGGTTTCTTCACCTCTTGTTTAGGAGTATAGGGTATATTGATAGGTTTCTTCACCTGTTGAGGAGTATAGGGTATATCGATAGGTTTCTTCACCTCTTGTTTAGGAGTATAGGATATCACGATAGGTTTCTTCACCTCTTACTTAGGAGTATATGGTATAACGATAGGTTTCTTCACCTCTTGCTTGGGAGTACAGGGTATAACAATAGGAGTATAGGGTATAACGATAGGTTTCTTCACCTCTTGTTTAGGAGTATAGGGTATAACGATAGGTTTCTTCACCTCTTGCTTAGGAGCATAGGGTATAACAATAGGAGTATAGGGTATAACGATAGATTTCTTCACCTCTTGTTGAGGAGCATAGGGTATAACGAGAGGTTTCTTCACCTCTTGTTTAGGAGCATAGGGTATAACGAGAACACCATTCTCCATGTATGGTTCAATTCAGGTTTCTTCACCTCTTGTTTAGGAGGAACGGGTATAACGAGAGGTTTCTTCACCTCTTGTTTAGAAGCATAGGGTATAACAAGAACACCATTCTCCATGTATGGTTCGAATTCAGGTTTCTTCACCTCTTGTTTAGGAACCGTCACAGTGAAAACACCATTCTCCATGTTTGCTTTGATTTGATCCATTTTAGCATTCTCTGGTAATCTAAACCTTCTCATGAATTTCCCACCGCTACGCTCCACACGATGCCATTGATCGTTCTCATCTTCTTTCTCAAATATTCTCTCTCCACTTATCTGAAGAACACTATCATCTCCGATCTCAACCTTCACTTCATTCTTCTTCAGTCCAGGAAGATCCGCCTCGAAGACATGTGCTTCTGCAGTCTCCTTCCAGTCCACAAGTATGCTCAAGAATGCTGAATTTTCAGGAAAGGAACTGGAAAGTGAACTCGGAATCAGTGACATCTTCTCTTTAACTTCGTTGATGATTGTTATGGATCTTGATGATTTACAATTTTTGATGCTTTGCAATGCGATACGTGATGATTTACAATCCAGTATTTGCTAGAAAATTTGAAAACCGTTTTGCTATTTCCATGCCGGCCATGGCAGAAAAATGTTCTAGGTTTTCAATTTAGGGTTAAACTACTCTCTCTTTAGTGGGAATAAATTAAATAGGTAAACTAAAATATTTTTGTGGATCCAAATTAATTGGTAAGATTTAAAAAATTTATAATTGATTTAAGTTATTTTTATTTTAATGATAATTGTTTATAAAAAATTAAAAATTGATTCTATATAGCCGTTGAATTAGAACTGTTGAAGTTTTATTGATATTTTAATAATATAAAATAATAATTAGAGCAATTGAAATTTGATAGTGTGCGTTGGTTATATAGTTTCTGAAAACTAATTGTTAGTTTACTTATTGTCATGTCATTCTTGTTCAAATGTAAAATTTTTATAGCTACCATTACTATTAAAAAATTTAATACTACCGAATCTGCACTAAAGATGTTCTTAGTTTTAAAAACAAGGAATTGTGATCCAATGCAATCAAAAAAGGGTGCAATCACTGCAGTCATGGGTCTATCAAACCATTAGATATGTTTTCTATTCGATCTCCACCTTTAAATGATTTTATTTTATTAAAAAATACTTGAAGAGAGACATAGACTCAAACAGTGTTTTAAAAACCGGACCGACCAGTTGGACCGATCGGACCGGGAATCGGCAAAGTAACCGACCTGGTTTACTAGTTTGATAGTTTGTGTCATCAAACCGGTAAAAATCGAGAAAAATCGGATTGGGTCAGAAAAAACCGGTTTAGGGTTGAACCGGTTCTAATGCATTTTTTATTTTTTAATTAAAATTTAAATGCAAAATTTATAAAAATTAAAATAAAATAAAAAATTATTTTGATTGTTTTGAAAACACCACCACCAAGGAGATTCCAATATTAAAATAATTTTATCTCTTTGGAACTAAACTTAAGTAGACATTAGAGTTATTTTGTTATAAATTATTCAATTATATTATGTTGCAATTAGATTTTGTAATTTTATATTATTTTGTTATGTGTGATACATTTGTTTAAATTTGAATTTAAATTATGAACTTGTGAATTTATGATATGATATTTTCAAAAAATTTACTAGTTATATTTTTTTATAAACTGAATCATTTGGTTCGACCGGTTTTATATCTATATAATGAGAGGTCTATTCAACCGAGTTATTCGATTTAATTCGGTTTAGTCATGCGGTTCGACCAGTGACTCAGTGGTTCGACCGATAAACTAGTGACCCAATACCCTCATCGATTTGATGACCGGTCTGGTTTTTAAAACACTGAACTCAAGTGACTGCATGAATCATTTTCTGATCCAATTTAAAAATAATTATTATTTTTTCAAAATTTTAATTGATGTATAATGACAGCATAAAGGTATCATCATACTTAATTATAATTTTAGAATGTCTCTGTCAAACAATTCCTCCCAAAACTTAATTTTTTAAATTAATTATTAATAATAAATATAACAATTATTATTCTATTACTTAAAAATTTTCATTAATCTATACAATGAAAATATTTTGTTTTATAATTTATTTTTCTATCATTTTTATCTTTATTTTATTATATAATTTACTTAATAATTTTTTATAATTAATTTTTTATAATTAATTTTCACATAAGTTATTATTTTTAATT